TTGATTACCAACATTGAGGAAGTTTTAATTGCAAAACATTTGCAATCAGCAGGGAAAACTTTATAGGTATTCTACATGGAAAACTTTGAGAAAAATTCTCATATTTATCTTGCAGGTATTTTATGTTTCAAGACCAAAGCAAGCGTGCTAGTTCTTGAGATATCTTAGGAAGGATTTTAAATTTGAAAATAAATAATAAATATTTATAGTAGCCCCCCTTACTTAATTGGCCATCGGGCAGAGATTACAGCCAATGCTAAGATCAATAAAAACAAATTGAAATCTTACCACAAACCAAACCAAAAGTAAATCTGTTTGTATTTATAGGCAGATGATGAAATTTTGTTTTTATTTATTTGATGTCAAACATCATCAAACTGTCTCGAAAGAAAGAAAATCAAAGAGAAATTCTTGAAAACTGTTCGAGCATAAACTTTCCCTCTCGCACACACACACAGTCAGTTTATTTGCCATTTATCAAAAAATAAGGAAAATATTTTGAGTAGATTTAGCAGGCAAAAAGTAGTTTAAGCCTTCGAAATATTTATAAAGCGAAAACAACATGTGCTAGTCTTGGCCTAAACGCACATAATTCTGCAGCACAAAGATCTAATTTAATTTTAATAGCCACATTTCATTTTGGTTTCTGGAATGTTTGTTATTCGTTATTTGTTATTTGCTATTTGTTTCATATGGAAATTAAATGGAAACAATAAACCAGAAGCTTTGGACCGCAAAAAAAGGTGGTTTTTGCTTTTGCTGTTGCTGTTTTGTATTTTGAAAACAAATCATAAAATTCTATACATTTATAGTTTTAATTAAATTAAAAATGCCTTCATTTTTGGTTTGGGGGATTAGTGATTGATGTTTCTCTGCTTTGGCTTTTGCTACTTTTCGACCATTTTGACCTTTAAAGTCGACCAGAACTGACGGGATTATAGCCAAGTTAGGCAACTCAGGATGTAGTAAGGGCAGGGAAGGGAGCTGGGCTGGGCTGCTACTGCTGCTGCATATTGTCTGAAGTAATTTATAATATCACGACGTGACGTGCTTTTGCCTGATAAATGAGCCGAATGTCGCCACGGAGTCAGTTTGCTAAATAATAAACTCTCGCCAAAGTCTAGTAGAAAGAAGGGGAGGCAAAAGTTGGGGGAGAGACAGCGGGCCACGTTTCATCTAAAAAAAAAAACAGAAAAAGAATAAAGAATAGAATGGCTGTGCTACGCCGGCTGGGATCAGCCCACTTTTCAACCCACTTTTCCATCTAAATCCGGACCCCCATACCTCCCCCTATGTGCGAACTCTCCACTTTCTTCCGCCTTTCTAACTGTGCTTAAGCCGCAGCGTTTTGTTTTCGCACTTTGCGCGCTTTAGTTTCGGAATTTTCCATCAAATCATCAACACTTCCCGCAGAAAGCTTGGCTCAACATTATTTATGCAGATTTTCTTTCTATTTTTTTTTTTTGCTGCCTGCCTGCCCGCCTTTTCCCAGGAACAAAAGACAAGAGATAGTGGGCGCAACAAGCGTGTGAACTAGCGCCAGGCTAAGTCTTCTCAAGACAGTGGGACCAACTATGGGGAATGTGTGCTAAGAAATGATATTAAATATGTTAGTTAAGCTAAGAAAACTAGACTTGAAAATGAAGATATTACTGTGAATATATTTATATATAAGAAATTGTTTATTAAAGATGACCAATAGGTGGAGCTTAACCCTGCTAATTTGATAGATATCAGATATCAAACCAATCAGCAATCTATAAAAGTAAAATAAGGAGTTCCTAAAAAGGTTTTAAGAGGTGTTTTTTGAGAGACATGTAAAACATGTTTAGACCTCATGACCTACTCTAACTTAACCCCCAAAAACAAACAATCTCAAACCACTGTGCAACACAGAGCCGAAAACAAAATGCCATTAAGCTTAAGTTGAGCATAACATAAGAACAAAAGCATCTGAGAACTGTTTGTGGAAATAAAAAACTCAAAGTCCCATAAAATAAAGTAGGAAAAACTCTTCGTATGCATAAACAATTTAATGCGTTTTCTGTACGAGAGTGTGAGTGTGTGTGTGTGTGTGTTGTTGTTATTATATTTGTATTTGTGTGCGTGGCAATACAATACAATTTACACGCTTATTAATTTTTACAAGACTTTAACCGACACTTGAGCCAAACAACCAAACAACAAAAACTGGAGCGAATGCTTTTCCCAATGTGTGTGTGTGTGTGAGTGTTTGTTTGCCAACAGTATACACACACACACACACACAGCGCACCTCTTCAAACAAAAATTCAACTTGGTTTTCGGGTTATTATTATTATTTTCTTCGCTTTTTTGCTGCTGTTGTTGGGGAGAGCAGTGGAAAAAAAAAACAGAGGAAAAAGGGGTTGCCGTAGTTACTTTGCTCTAAAAAGTTTTTGGCACCCATTTGCCAAGGATGGTAGAAGGGTAGAGAGGGGCGGTAAATATATAAGCCACAATTTTAGCATGCAAAATATGGCCAAAAGGAATTTCTATTTTTATTTATTTTTTAATATCAAAACTTTTCGACATACGAAAAGCAGCAAAGCGGAGAATGTGGCAAGCCCAAGAACAAGCAAGGCCCTTCAGGGCTCTTTCTGTCATATGTGGAAATACATTTTGCTTATGCACAGGGAAAATATCTATATTAAATGATATATATATATATAGATATATCTGAAAAATAAAAGAAAGATAAAGCAGTGGGATTATCTGATTGAAGAAGTTGCTGAAAATATTTAGAAAAGACTCCCAAAGGCAGATCTAAGTATGAAAACCTTTTTATAGCTTAGTTTATGGAATATTGTTATCAGAACCTTTGTAAATCCCAAATAGTTGTCCCCTAATCCCACCTACTTTTTCCCCAAGTGCAGTACCACCTGCTTTGTGGCGCTTTCCTGCTTGTTTTGCTACCTCCTTTCGGGTCCTTAGAGGAAGGGAGTGACCAACAAGTTGGCAAAATCAGATGGCAGGAAGTACAAGGACACTCACACACTCATACTCATATGCTGCAAGGAAAAGTGCATGTGTAATTGGGAATAACGGGATATATGTTTGCACCAACAGCCAAAGGTGAAATGTGAAAGGAAAAGAGGACGAAAAAATAAGGAGGGAAACAGCGAAAAGGAAAGGCCAAGAAAACTCCTGCGAAGACGACAAATTGCCAGCTTCTTGAAAGTTTTTGGCCTGGCCAAAAGAAAATAGTTTCTGAGGTTGAAAACGAGTGACGAAAGCTGAATAACCACCCACCCCACCCATACACACACACACACACTCACTCACACTCACAATAATTTGTGAAAACTGTGTAGCCTGTGTGGGTGGGAAATTGTGCGTGTGCGAGTGAGAGTTTTCTTTTGCTAACAAATAATTTGAAATTTTCAATTAATTAAAGTTTTGCGGAATGGTAAAAGTTTACTTTTAGAATTCGTGCGTGACAAATGAACGAGAATTAATGAGAATGAAAACGATAATGGGAATCGGATCTTAAGGCATATTGCAATTTTGGTAATTTGTAAAATTGGTTTTTTTTAAAAAGTAAACTAAAAAGTGGGAAGTATAGATAATGGTTTGAACTTATAATTAAACTCAGAAACTTATAACATCACAAAGCCAAAATAATAAATCGACATGAGTCGTGATGTCTGCAATGGTTTCTCCTGACTGACAGGTGATTAGCGAATGCGTGGCATGTTTGCCTTAAAAATATTTCCCCAAAAAACAAAATGAAGTTTCCCAAATGGCCTTTAAGCTCTTTAAGATCCATCCAACCATCACGACACTCTTTCGCTGTTATATTTTTTCGCTTCGAGGCACTTTACTTTATGCTACTCCTATCTGCTTGCCAGTTGGTATATCGCCATGGCTTTCTGTGTCTATCATCCTGGCCTGATGATAGCCTGATGGCCTGGGCCATCTCACTTCCTCCCATACTACACATACATATGTCAGAGCTGGGAAAGTTGAGAATTTAAAGGAATTATAAGTACTCGAGCATCTGACACGTCGGCCGCACTTGGGAGACTTTCCCAGGGACTTGGCAGTTGGCAGTTGTCAAGTGTGCTCTCTGGCCACTCACTATCCACCCAATCCCCAATCCCCAAACCCCTTTCTACTGCCAACTCGCTTTTCCTTTGGCATCGGGGAAAACCCTGTGACGAATGTCGCTTGAAACTCATATGCACGGAAGGTTCCTCTTCTCGCCTCTGCTCTTCTCTCCTCGAAAAGGGCAAATAGTTTGAGGGATTTCTTCTTTGCAACGAAGCATGTGGGCAATTACAGTCAAACTTGCTATGAAGGAAATTGATAACCTTGCCGGGGTGGAAGCTTGGATCTTGTGAAGAAGGAATTTCAATATTTATCAGGTATTTGAAGATATTAAAAGATATGATATCACTTATAGGAAAAGAAAAGGGAAAGAAAGAAATGCAAGTTTGGATTTTGAAGTTGACTTTGTAGCCAGTCTAATATTAGAACTTTCTGTTTCTGACTTTTCAGTTACCATTATTCTTTATTCTTTACTTAACGAGTAAATATTCCAAATTTCATCTACAAAACTAAAAGCTATTTCCATTCCACTTGGATAAATAATGAAAAGAAAAATACATTGAATTTGACAGTACTTTGAGGCACTTTTAGTCTCTGGGAAAACAGCTGGTAAATGTCTTGTGTGTAAGCCGCTTACCGCTTACACCACTCCACTGTACACCCCCTTCTTGACCCCCTTGGGAGTCACGTTCATATGTCATATTGAAAAGGAAAAGAACAAATGTCTCGTCGTGGATGATTTCTAATCAAATATATCATCTGTTCCATCGCCCATCCACCATCTACCATCTATCAGGGAAATTGTGTTTGCACTTTTCTTTTATTCTTTACTCTCCCTCTTTTCTTTTTCTTGGGTTTTCTTGTACTTGTTCTGTTGTTTGTTATAGCCAAGGTGATTAATAATATTTCCATGTTTGCCTTTTCATCTGCAGGTATGACGGAGGAAATAACCGGCGATTGGAGCTATTACGTGTATATATCGCTAACGCTGGTTCCAGTCTATTTGGCATTTCGGCTCATTAAGTCACTGGGCTGGCAGCTCTTCGTCAACAACTGAGCAAACATCTCGAACTGAAGCTGAAGCTGAAGCTGAAGCTGAAACTGCAGCTGAAGTTGAAGTTGCAGCCGTCATTGGGGAGAATCTGGAAAAGGGAAAAGTCGAACAGTCGGAGCCAAAAGAGGTAGGTGCGTAGTCACTTGAGGTTGCCAGTCAGAAGCGGTCGAGTGTTGAAAGTCGAGTGTCGATAGTCGAGTGCCAAACATTCAAAGTTGCAACTTGCCAGCAAGGAAAAAAAAGGAATATAAACCAGAAGGCAGTGAAAGGTGATCCTTAAAAGTGAACGAAGTAGAGGAATACCCTAAGATTGGATTTTTTTAAGTTATTAATTGATATTAAAGAGATTAAAAAACACTAAAATTGTTTAAGAAAGTTATAGAATTTGATTCTTAAACAAGTTTTCTTTAAAATTCATTAAGTTAAATGTTTAAATTTGGGAAAAAATTAAGTAATGAAAGTTAAATTTGAGAAATGAACACAAAAACAAGTTTCAAAATCCATAAAAATCAGTTTTTTATATTCCAACATATTCCTATAGTTTAAAGTCAGATCTTCTCAGCATAAACTAACAGAAAATACAAAGTAAAAATCACAAACATATGCCAGCTTCCTTACTTCTTAAAGCCATCTCTGACTCTCTTCTGGCCATAACGACATTTCCCAGCAGACACAAGAGCATCGAATATCTTTGTGGCAAACAATAATTCGTGGAAAACTATTTAAATATGCTTTGCTTTTCCCTTTGCAGCCTGATATAAATATGTATATTTTCTAAAAAGAAAAAAATGCAATAAATGGAAAGCCAGGACTAGACAAAGAGAGAGAGAGAGAGAGAGAGCAAGCGGCCGTCGAGTGATAAACCAGAAGGGTCCAAGCAGCTGCACAGGATTTCCCTAGCATTGCCAGGATTGCCAGGATCGTGCTGTTGTGAGCTGTTGTGTTGGCCAAAGCCGAGTTGTTGCTGCTGCTGGCTGGCCAAAAAGGAGCAAACAAAAGGCGAGGCGATGCAAAGCAATCAACGTCATAAGCAGGAGCAGCAGCAGGACCACTACCAGTACGAAGACCACCACGACCAGTTCCAGCACCAGTACCAGTACCAGAAACAGGAACAGAGACCAGAGACCAGAACACAGAGACCGGAACAGGACAACCATCAGCACCAACGTGGACGGAGTTATTGTGGTGGCACCGCCAAGCCGCCATCGCCGCAACAGCAGCAGCAACAGCAGCAGCAGCATCGTGAGGATCCACTATAGGGACACCACCCACCACATACTCCTGAATACCTACTGTATCCCTCCTGCCACCCTATCCCCGCAGTATCCTTCGCAAACAAGGAGGAACTGGCATCACAAGGAGCAACACGGCAACAGCAAAAGCCAAAGCAAAACAACTCTCGCTTTGAGGACCTCAAGAAAACCAATTTACATATTTAAGCTTTGGGCAAACGTCGAGCGGAGCAGCAACTAGGAGCAATCAATAGAGGAGCTTGGCAAGCAAAAAGAAAGTAGGAAAAGAAGAAGCGCCTCCAGCAAGAAGAAGAAGGAGAAGGAGGAACCACAGACACCACATCATCCTCCCATTCTCCGCTGAATCAAAGGCCAGTTAGCTGCGACACCTTTATCCTCATCATCACCAGCCAGAATGCGACTGCCATATCGAAATAGGAAGGTCACCCTGTGGGTGCTCTTCGGCATCATCGTCATCACCATGTTCCTATTCAAATTCACCGAACTGCGGCCCACATGCCTCTTCAAGGTGGACGCCGCCAACGAGCTATCCTCCCAAATGGTTCGCGTTGAGGTATGTACCCCCAAATCGAACACAATCTGTTCTGCCTCACACACCCCTCCCCCCCTTAGAAACCATCTATCCATCCATCCATCCATCTAGCCATCCTCATTCCCCATTCTGAATCTAAAAAAAAAAAGGTAAAAGGTAAAGGAGGAGGTGGATAAAGCACACATAGTCACACCCCGGAACATCTACATCCTTTGCCCAAGGTGCGTTCCATAAATGTAGGGAAAATATTTAAATTTAATCAAATCGTAAGGAAAGGGGGCTGGAAATTGGGGAGTACCATCAGGTTTTGACAGATTTTTAGGCCTCTGCCTTATTGGATAATCTATTTTTGATTTCAGAAATCAGTTTGGCATAGAAGATTAAGGCCTGATAGGGGGGTTTCTTGGGGTTTTCTTAAAGAAAATTTCTGAAAAAAGAGATTCCTTTTGAGGTAGAAAGTTGGTTAGAATTTTGATCTGCCCTAAACTTAGGTTTCTAACATTAAAAAAATATCATTTTTAATCCAAAATATGCCTTTAAATCACGTTTTCCCTTAATTAGTTTCCTATTCTTAGCCATAAAGCTCTTTAGTGATTTAAATTTACGTGACGCACTGTGGCGTCGTCCACTCGCCCCACGTGCTGACCAAGCCAAACAAAAACATTTGCAATGATAAATCAAAGGAAAAAAAAGTCATGGGACTAGCTGCTGGATAACTAATTTCATGTTGGCTGAGCACAGATGAAAATCCTGCTGCCCCCTGACCGCTGCTTTCCCGGAAAACACGAACCGCACACGCAAAACCAAAGCAAAAGTCATTGAGGGAATTTAACTGGTTATCGGATGACCGAACACTATTTTGTAAACATTAGTCGAGACCAAAATGGTCTCGTTGGAGTTGGAAATGTGGGGAATGGAATCCATTGATTAGCATTGGGAATATCGAAGACGTAGGTTATAAGCAGCTTAGAATTCCAGTGGTTGGGTTGGGTTGGGTTGGGGAGAGGGAAAGCCTCCTCCTGGTCAGAAGATGACGTGAAAGACAATGCGTTTGAGAGATGTATGTATATTGAGATAGCCAAATCATTTCCATAGAGCATTAACACATCCTTGGTTTTGGGGCCATGAAAGACAGGCGGGCGGGAGGGCGGCTTTAATTCCATGGGATTTCTGTGGGTCCAATTATTTTGAGGGAAATGCAAAGCCCTGGCTTAAATTGGCTATCAGGCAGCTACCAAAATGCATAATTATTTTGAACGAAAACCAATGGATTTAAGTTCTCATTCAAAACCAATATACGGGGTGGCGGGGCGATAAACAACAATGTTGTTGTCTGGCCGCCCCCCCCCTCAAAAGGCAAATAATATAAATTAATGCAAATGATCCCTGTCTGTCGTCTGTACATGGGTAATTAAGGATGGAGAGTTCAAAATAGGTAATTATTCCAGAGATTTTCCATGGCTAAATATGGCAGCGCCATCTATATGCCAAATCATTGCTTGGTTTTTAATTAATCCAGTCTGGGCTTTGGCAGGGCAAAAACAAAGTTAATCCATGGATTAAATTGCCTGCCCATGGCTAATCAAAGTTGTATAAATCATAGAATAAAGCTGACTTGCATGTTCCTAGGCAATCTGATTTATAATTTAAATCATTTTCACTTCTTGATAGAAGCAAAATATCAAATATTGTGGATTTAATTACAGAAAATCTGTTGGTTGCCTAATGAATCCAAATGATATCAAATATCTGTGGCTAGCAATGGGAATAGTTAGTAATTAGTTTTAATAGGTAATCAAGTAGCTGCCCTAAAAGCAACTTAAAGGTTCAAAAAACGATAAACAAAATTTGTCAGCTAACATTTCCAAATCAATGTTTCTCTTTCACCATTTATCTTAATCTGGTGAACACTTTTGATTAGATAAAAAGTACAAGAACTTATCACTTTCCAAAATTGAATGCTTATGATTTACGAAAACCGATCGATTTTTCATTAGTTGGGTAAAAGAAAGTAAACCCCTGTTTACCTTTCGATAAGGTGGTAATTTATCAGAGGGGTTTGTAGGTTTCTGGGCTCTATCTAGCTAGATAAGACTGCTCCATATGGGGATGTCGCTGGCGCTGGAATCTATTTTTAGTAATGCCCATCACCTGTCGCCTACGCATTTTTTATTTCTTCTGACGCTAATGCCCATGACGGCGTTAACACCTGCGCTTACTCAACCATCAAGCTACTCCTCCTCCTTCATTCCCCTTTCTAGTTCTACAACATCTTCACTCCCACTCCTACTTATTATAATAATAATCATAATAATCATCTACATTATCATCATCATGGCCATCACCACGAGCCATGTCATTTATTTTGCGCCTGCAACTTTTCTCTAATTTCATTTTTTCCGTCTTCTCTTCTCGTTTTTTTCTTTTGGTTGTCTCCACCTACAACATTTGCCATGGCGGATGCGGATGCGGATGCGAAACCCCGGACACGGTTACGGTTACGGTTACGGAATACGGACACGGACACGTTCAGAAATACCTCACAGATGACAATCAACGCGTTTATTCATACAACCGTGAGATGCCATTAATATTCATAGGCGGCGTGCCCAGATCTGGGACGACTTTGATGCGCGCCATGCTGGATGCCCATCCCGATGTGCGGTAAGTCCTGCTAACCGGAAACCCCTTGACTGTCCCCGGTATTGGTTCCTGAGATCTGGGTATCCCTGGCATAGCTTCCACCTCCTGTAACCGGATAATACCCTTTCCCATTTCCCACTTCCTGCCCCTCAACTGTTCGATTTGATTGTTTGCCACAATGCGCGGGTCTCTGTGTGGGTGGTGGTGGTGGTGGTGGGGGGGAGTCATGGAAAAGTCTTGCACATATCGGATATCACAACCGATTTATTGGTTTGACATTGAAGGTAGGGTAAGGGTTATATAAAATAATACATTCAACTTGCTCTTAAGATGTCAGAAATTATAGCTTAACATTTCCCGTTTTCCCTTCTGTTAAGTTGGAAAATTGAATAATTTGGCCATTTCTTGAATCGCTGATTTCCATTTGAAAAAAAGATCCCCTTACTCGGCTCGGAATCATGGCTGTCAATTCAATTAACATTTAATTTTCACCGAAGGAAATCCAATTTAAAGTTTTCCCTTTGTCACATTTCTGTGTGGGAGATCCATCCAGTCTCCTGTTTTTTCCTTCCAACTGCTGATGCTGCCTATCATATATCCTATTTATTAGTATCTTTTCTTTTGTATGCAATATGTGTTACATTCTCTTGATTAAATATCAAATTTCAACTTTCAAATGTCAAATTTAAGTGACTTGAAATGTCTGGAATTTTCATATTTCGGCAAACTGATTTTCCTTTCACTTGTTGTCAAATTTTGAGCCTTTGAGCCTAGTTTTCCCTTGCTTCTATTCTATTAATAAACTTAACTTTTTAATTCGAAACGAGCTGGTTATTACACACATCAATGCTTTGCCATTTAGTCTAGTTAACTTAATTAAACTAATTACAAGTTGCATTTTGCATTTTGCAGTTTGGCAGAAATTGGAAATCAAACACTCATTTAATTGCTTTGCCAGAGAGTTTGTAATGATTTAATTTAATGCAATTAATTTGATTTATCAACTGATATTTATCATTAAAATTCAATAAGTACTTCCCTTTCAGCCATGGGCTGGCTCTCTTCTTGCCTTTAACAGCTCATCAGAAATGTGTTTTCCCCAAAATCTGCTAACCAAATTTCACACTTCCTTTGAGTATAATCAAACATTTGCCGATGCCTTGGAAAAACATTCCAATTCCAAATAATTTCCGACATCGTTTTTGTTGGGGGAAAAACCTTTTGCCCTGCCATAAAGTGTATTTCCACTCCGTTCTATGGGGAAAATGTTGTAAATTTTCATATATTTTTTGGGTGGCTCTGCTGTGCGTTGGAGGACTTCCCAATTTCAATCTGCCCAGCCAACCCACAACCCAATTCGATATATATTCCGTTTCGCCCTTTGGCAATTTTAATATTTTTTTACGGCTGCTCCCTGTGCCGTCTCCATTTGCGTATCTTTTTTGGGTTTTTATCTGCCTTGCCTTTTACCTTCTGGCTACTGCTGCTGCTGCTCCTCCTGCTGCTGCTGCGATATATTATTATTATAATTATAATTTCTTAAGTTTCCCTTACGCATGAGTAATTAGCCACGAAATTTGCGCAATCTGAAAATGAGAAATGGCCAAGGACCGAAAAGAAGGAGTCCTCCTTCTTGGCTATCATTTTTTGTTAGCCCTGCCTTGCCCTTCTGCCCGTTCCTTATTTTTATTAACAATTTGCCTTTTCTGCCCGAACCATTTCCAGACCATTTCGCTTCATCCTGTGTCCCATCGCATCCGTGGCCTATCCACACCGTCCTGCGACGTCCTACGTCCTATCTCCTGTGTCCTGTTCCCTGTGTATCCTGAATCCTGACAGGAGGCAGTCAGCCAGCCAGCCTGGCCTGGCCTGGCCTGTGTCGGCAAGTCAGGGTCGCTTTTTCTGATGGCTGCACAGCGCAATTTCCGCTATTTAAAAACCGACTTCCCTTTCCCTCAAGGATCTCACGGATTTTAGTTACAGAATAGGTTCTCGTTCTCGTCCTCGTCCACGTCCTCCTCCGCGACCTCATCCTCATCCACGTCCTTTGTTCGCCTTTGCAGGACTCTCTAAAAACGCTGGGGCGGTGTAAAGTGTAAAAGTTTCCCTAAGCGTATGTGGATGTGGAGTAGTAGGTCACCATCGCGGCCCATACCCATACCCATGGTATGGGTATGTGCTCCCTGTGTGCGCTCCCCTTCTGGTTTCCAGATTAAATCTGGTTTTAGTATTTGTAGCATTTAGCATTTGGACTTGGCATCAACTAATTGAGTCTGGGTAAGCCCCGAAACAATTTTGTGGGATTTGCATGGCCCGGGGATAGGAATAGGGATTGAGATTTGGGATAGAGATAGGGAATAGGGATAGGGGTTAGAGGAGGGCTTACCAGGAGGAATACCCGCCGAGATGGAGGGCTCTCATGTCGAGGTGCGAACAAATGTAATTGGTTGGGGCCAGATAAAGTTGTGGCCTCGATTTAGATGGTGTAAAATAGGTGACTCCATGCTGTTTGGGGGCCATTAAAATTGTGGCGTTTCAGGGGAATTTCTTTGAGGGAAATTCACTTTTTTTTTTTTGCGAAAAGCGGAAACTAATGTTATGTAATTTGGGTAAAGTTTTTGAACTAATTTGTATTCTGTGTAATTAAGATATTGAAACCATACATGGGATAAGTTAATATCTTAAAGGAATTACATTTTAAAGTTAAAGCTTAACTTTGTGGAATTGCCAGCTTGCAAGTCCCACTGATAAGCAAGCTAATTATGGTAACTAAAAAGATGAGTTAGTTACACCTTCAAATTACAAAGTTAATTACAATTAGTTAGACAAGGAAATAGAAGTCCAATGTTTGCCGTTCAATTCAGTTTCATTCAGTATTATCAGCACTCGAATCCAGTAGGTAATATAAGTTAATTAGTCGGAAAATACCAAAGTGCGCTCTTACTTAACCTGTAATAATGGTCATCATCAGGCCAGAGATATCATTTTGGGCTAAAGTGCTTTTGGCTAAAGCAACGAATAAAAAAAGAAGAACTTACTCATCGAGAGCCCTTTTTCAATTGGTCAAAAAGAAAAATGAAAGAATAAACATGTGGAAAATAGTTGAATAAACAAGGCTTTGATCGACTTTGATTACTTTCCTCCTCTGGGCTCATGGATTCGTTGGTTTTCGGTTTCAGTTTTTTTCCTTTTTCTTTTTTTCAATTGCTCTTTTGCTGCCTGCAATGTGGGATATTTATGATAATTTACGCAATCAGGCAGTCATTTTTTTTCGGTATCTATATGTGTGTGTGTGAGTGTGTGTGTGTGTGTGCTCTGAACTTGATTACGGTGCGCTGGCGGCGGAAAATTCTAGAACGGCAAACGAATCGTTTGAAGCCCTTCATAGTTCACTGCTTTCTGCAGTCCTGCAGCCAAAAAGGGAAATCGGAGCGGGCTAAACAGAGTGATAGAGAGAGAGAGAGGGGGGGGAGTAGGGTAGCAGGGCGGAAAAGAGGGGTCCAAATGGGTGGAGTTATGCACCAGACATGGAAACGCGACGGGGGTCTACTCCACTTCCACTGCAGGAAAACCCAAAGAGCTAACAGCGGATGGTATACCATTTCGTTTTGTCGATTGCATTAGAAGGAGGAGAAGGAGTTGGGAGAGGTAGTGGTGCATGGAGCATGGAGCATGGAGCAGGAACAGGAACAGGAGCTGGAGGCTAGGATGGAGTTGGTGCCCCCCAACACATGTTGCCCAGCGATACCAAACTGGCATGTATCAGGGTGCCACTTTATTAAAGGGGTTACTATTATGTGATTAAAGAAAGATTTCTGCTATATTCAAGTTCTGAAAATCAGAGAATTCCTTGAGGCAGTATCACTTTTCCTTATTTCAAGATATAAAACTCTTTAATCAAGTATAAAGTTTAGATAAGAAGCATTACTTTTTAACAGATTTCTTTAATCACAATGATATAGACTCGCAAAGTATATCAAACTTTCCTTTATCAAAAGACTATTCCGAATCGTAGTCAGGATACACCACTGTCCCCCTTAAACAGAAGCCCGCTTTGTGTCTATTCTCATCTGTCTCATCTTTTTTGTGTTTTCCTCTTTTTTTGGATCCTTTTATAGCTGCGGGCAGGAAACCCGCGTCATTCCACGAATCCTGCAATTGCGCTCGCACTGGCTAAAGTCCGAGAAGGAGTCGCTGCGCCTGCAGGAGGCTGGCATCACCAAAGAGGTCATGAACAGTGCCATCGCACAATTCTGTCTGGAAATCATCGCCAAGCACGGCGAACCGGCGCCACGCTTATGCAACAAGGATCCTCTCACGCTGAAAATGGGCTCCTATGTCATCGAGCTATTTCCGAACGTAAGCACCCTGCAGCGATTCCCCTTTTTATATTTAAGGCAACCAACCAACCACCCAACCACCCACTTAAAGCATAAAGAAACATAACAATATCAGTTATGCAATAGCATTTTCATTTACCATATCTGATATATATATATATCTGGTATATATGTATATGAAAAACCATCAACTTGGTTGTCACAGAAATCTCTCGCTTAATGGAAATTAAGTGGGGTGGCTTTTAGTCATAAGTACTTGCCATAGGAAAGTATTTTATTAAACACCTTAAAACACCCTGACGACCAACTTTTCAATCTCCAAGGGCTTTAAGTCTTCGCTGCTTTGATCTAAGATTTTTTAAAGGACTTCTTAAGTAAGTTTTTACTTTAAAAAGAAAGTAACTTAAAATTAGATTAACAAAAAATGGAATTTTTATACTTGCAAGCAGTTCTTGAAGCTGTTTAGCTTGTCTTTGAAATTAAAATGATTAATTAAAGAAGTTTCCTATGAAAATATCCATAAATATTAACACCCTTTATGATCCAAAAGATAGATATTTCTGTGATATAACCATAAGACTATCTCTTTAACTTATTTTTCCCTTTCCCCATTTAATATTCAAATTGATGCCAGAAAATATGAATAATATTTTTTGTTCGTTGTTCACTCACCCGCCACCTGTTTTTCCGGCTGTTACAGGCTAAATTCCTATTCATGGTGCGCGACGGCCGGGCGACAGTTCATTCGATTATATCGCGCAAGGTGACAATCACCGGCTTCGATTTGAGCAGCTACCGGCAGTGCATGCAGAAGTGGAACCACGCCATCGAGGTGATGCACGAGCAGTGCCGGGACATCGGCAAGGACCGCTGCATGATGGTGAGTCCAGCCAGTCAGGCGGCCACCCCAACCACCCCAACCACCGCCCATCTCAATCAATGATGATTAACTTGGTCGGGGTGCTGTGCCTGTTTGGCACAGGAAATTAAGCAAACTGACTTTGAAAATTCCATTGACGGCTGCGCTTGTTCGTGGAAAATATATTGATGTTCACAGCTGTGTGACCCTTGGGAAATTGAATATCAAATTATTATTAGACAGGCAACATATTTAAAGGATTAAAAAAATGTTTACTCTATCCCTACCAGGTCTACTATGAACAGCTTGTCCTGCATCCCGAAGAATGGATGCGAAAGATACTTAAATTCCTGGATGTGCCATGGAACGATGCGGTCCTGCACCACGAGGAGTTCATCAACAAGCCCAATGGTGTTCCACTGTCCAAGTAAGTTGAAAGTGAAAGATAGATAATCATGATTTGAATCGATAATTAATATACAAATACAAATTGCAGGGTGGAGCGTTCATCGGACCAAGTGATAAAGCCAGTGAATCTGGAGGCAATGTCCAAATGGGTTGGCCAAATACCCGGGGATGTGGTGCGAGATATGGCCGATATAGCGCCCATGCTGTCCGTGCTAGGTTACGATCCGTATGCGAATCCGCCGGACTATGGTAAGCCAGATGCATGGGTCCAGGACAACACGTCGAAGGTAAGGTGCAACCGTCAGTCGTCGGTTTTTCCCAAATGCAAAACAAACTCAAAACACACTCCCCCGGAATCAGCCACTTTCCATGTTATCACTTCACTAAAATCTCCTAAAATCTCCTAAAATCCCCTAAAATCCTCCATCCAAGTACTTTAGTGATGCCATTCCAGTTTAGTTATATAATTTTTTATTATTTTTTTAAACTTAAAAGTAGTAAATTGCATGTAAATTTAGATGATTTTTAAGTACGTTGCTCATTTGGAAACCAAATAGTTTGATTTTCCAAGTAGTTTTTCCTTTGAATTTCATTCATTTTAGTTTATTTTCTTTAGAGTTTTCTTTCTTTTTACTTCTTAATTAAATATATATTATTAATATTAAGTCTTCTAATAGACCATTTAGCATCTTTAAACTATCAAAATGTTATGAAAGAATAATCAAAATTGAAGTTGTTGCAGATGAAAGGCCCTTAGGGGATAGACTTCCAGTGGCATCACTGTCAAGCACAGGCAATTTCACTTCATCCCTATTAGACCACCAACAACAAAGCGCCCACCCACACTGGGAAGCCCCTTTTTGTGTCCTTTGTTTTTGTTACTTGTCATTTTCCCAGGCTCTTGTTATCTTTCACCTTTTCCTTTGGCTCAGAGAGAGCCGTTCTCCCGTTTTGCCAGTGTCATTGGCATATTTTGCACTTCCCTGCATATTCCCTCCTAGATTCCCTACCATATATCCAGTATATCTCCCCCCCCCCACGCCCACTTACATCACACACATTGTGCAACTTGTTTTTTTTTTTCCTCGTCTTTCTTTATCCTTCTACTCGATTTCGTTCTGTATGTGCGATTTGTGTTTTGCCTGTTTGTTTTGTGTTTTGCACTTTGCCTTCTCGTTTGCTGGTTGCACCTTTTTTTTAACTTTTTATTTTGTATTTTGTATTGTTCTCTTTTTTTATTCCAGCTACTTTGATTCATATATGTATGGGTTGTGCATGGGTTGGGGTTACAAAGCCATGAAACTGAAAGAAATATCATTGATCATGATGATGACGATGATGGTGATGGTGGTGCTTGTGCTTGTGGCGCCATCTATGCCTGATGGTGTGCTACAATGTGCATGCAAAAACTATTTGTAATATGTTGGCTATTTTTATGTTTCTGCATTACTTTTTTTTTTTATTATTTATCTCTCCTGATATATATGGGTAAATATGAATTTAATCGAAATATAGTAGTCTACCGAGGGAACGGCGAAAAAGATGCGCCATTTTTTTTTTCGTAATAACTCAAAAAGGTGCCACCTATTGGGGAAAAAAACGTAATTCCATTATTTATTTAGCACTTTCCGTTGAAATATTTTACCAATCAATGGTTTTTTCCATGAATTTTCATTAAATTTGACATTCATTGTCTTGTTTGGTTGTGGTGGGTTTTTTAAAAAAGTTGATTTCATTATTTATTTAACAAGTTCCCAATGGAAATTGCAATTTTCACCAACAATTTGTTTTTTACCTTAAAAGTTAAATATGTTAAATGAAATTATTTGGAAAGTTTTTTTTTTTACCAACTCCCGCTGCGCTTTTCATGGGTTTAATAGACATTTTAAGTACAATTTAATATCTATTAGTAAACATGGCTTATGGCTGACCCATCACAGCTGAGGTGTTCAAAATAGTTGAGCACTAAATTCTCATTTATATTCACCCGCTGCTTGGTGCCTTTTCGTGGTTTTAATAGAATATAATTAGCATTCATAATATGGCCAGAAAGGACTCAAAGCGTTTCCTAGTTACTTCCTTTCAAGTCACTGATTACTGAACCAACAGCTGTCGCCGCTGGCTGGCTGACTAGAGCTGCCTGACTGCCTGACTGGCTGGCTGGCCAACGGAATTTTCAACTAACGTTTAATTGAAATTTTCGGTTTACTTGCTGTTTTTTTAATCTTCTTCTCATTGCTGACCTTTCAACCCGTGTCCCTTTTTCCTTTTTCTCCCGTGCTGTCGGCAGCTGGTATCTCTGTTTGCAAGTGCATCCTGCATCCTGCTGAGTTATGTCCGGCGCAGCGACGCGTTAAATTAGCTGCTAATTAATTAGTCCACTCCTCGTTACTCCGCGCCACTCGACTCGAGTGGCGTTGAGTTAACTCAAGTTGAGTTATCTCAGCGCTGATTTTAGCCAGCTTTTTTTTTTGTTTTAGTCTCCGGGATATATATCTGTTTGTTCTGGCGCCTGGCTTAAGGAGTAGCTCATAAATTCTGAATTCCTATAAAAAATTAAGTGCCCAGCAATGTTGCACCTTGTGTCTTTTTTTTTAAGCTCTATTTACCTTAAATTGTTTTTCTTTTTTAGTTAATTGCATATGGAACCGTTGTAAGATAGCATTTAGTTAGCTTTTTAAGTATTTTTAAAAGGGATTTCCTTAGCTTTCTTCATAAAAAAGTTAACCAAAAAAGGGTTTTGTATTCCCCCTTAATTTATATATATTTTTCCCCAGTTTTCGCTTTGACTTTTCCACTCTCTAGAATAACATCTTTTTGCTTGCATTTATTTTTCAATATTTTTTAAGCTAGTTTATGCCACCTGAAGTGTCTCGTAAATTAAAGTAACGATGTTACAGAATGAAAATTCTCACTCGATTTGGCCTACTTTTTTATCAGTGGTTTTTTCTCATGTTTTTCCAATGATTTTTTTTCCCGATTTTTGTGCGTTTTTATTGGCCTGTCAGAGGGGCTCTTTCTGTTTGACAGTTGCAATTGCAATGTTTCCGCGCTGTTGCCTGTCGATGGGTGGTGGCCGAGTGTGGTGAGTGGAGGCGTGGTTGGGACATGATGGCATAAGTGGCAATTTATACATGCATGCCGCTGGCAATGACGGGTTGAAGGAATTCGTCGTTGGGGCCAAAAGGGGGAGGTCCAACTGAACCGGACAAAGTTAAGTCAACTTTCGGAAACCCCGCCAGCTTGACAGGCATCCCTGAACCCAGACTCACTCCCTACCATCGGCATTTCAATCCTGTTAGTCCTTTTTTTTTTTAATGCTGCCTGATGCCACAGACACTGGTCAGTTATGGCCATACCCCGGGAGCCGTGCAACGTGCCACGCAATTAATATCAATTGAAAGTCCGCCAATTTCATTATATTCCTTAATTTATGTTAATGGCAAATATTTTAATTAATTGACAGGCTCGGCGCCACAAGCCCCACGCTCTAGCAACCCCTTCACTTATCGCTGATAGGTGTCTGCAAACATTAAATATTTTAAACATATTTGCATATTTAATATTTAATATTTGTGCAAAAAATTATAAAACCGTTCGTTCGCAGCGTTGTGAAAATTAAAATCAAATAACGAATCATTAATATACCCTGAGGTGGGATGTGGAATTGGGGAGGGAGAGGGAGGGGAGGAGAACTGGGGAAAACAGAAGGCGAAAAGGAAAATACCAAGGGTGTGTCGAACGGTAAAACCGCACAAAGAAAGAAAATGTTGTGAAAATTACGCTTGGCGCTGTTAAAACAAGAATTTTCCTTTTCTATTTTCCGTGTGCGGGTTTTTCGTTTGTATAGCGAAAGATAAACAGAAATCAAATGGAAATCTAAAATATTTAACTAGCCAAGGAATGGAGGTATTAAACGAATTTCCATTTGTTTTTTTTTTTTTGTAGGGGTGTTGTAGGGTCGACTAAGGGGGAAAACTAGAAAAGAAGAAAAAGAGGAAAAATCATTTAAATAATGAGCTGGCTGTTAAGACATCCAAGTTGCTGGGAAAAGAAAGAAGTTAGTTTTGTGCTTTTCTTAAAAAGTTTACGGAATTATCAGCAGACGTTTTATTAATATTTCTTTCTTAATATTCATAAAATATAAAACTAAAAGATATTCGTAAAACGCACTTTAATTTTCACTCGGCGACATCGCAAAAGTTGAACGCCAAAATTGTTCGGCTAAAAGTTTTCGCTTTGACTGGCAGTCAAACGATGTTTCCACGTTATGCAGCCAAAAAGAGGCAGATGTTTGCATATGTTGCATGGTGTTTGCTGTACGCTATATGCTATATATATATGCTATTTTGTATATAGAAACCGTTGCATCAGCAACAGCAACAGCAGCGGCAACATTGGCCTCTAATGAGAAGGAGGAGGAGGCCATCAGCAACAGCTGCAATGGGGGAATACACGATTTTCGGTGGCTTTCGGCTGCATTTGCCACATATATTTGTACATATATATATATATATATATCTATGCATAAGTGAGCCCATTATGAGTTGTGGTTTTAATTGGATTACGCATTTGGTTTCTATCTACTTTCAGCTAAAGGCCAATCGAATGCTGTGGGAGAGTAAGGCCAAGCAAGTGCTGCAGATGTCGTCCAACGAGGATGACAACACGAACACCATCATCAACAATAGCAACAATAAGGATAACAACAATAATCAGTACACAATCAATAAAATTATACCAGAGCAACATAACAGACAGCAGCAGGAGGAGCAGCAACATGAGCAACATCTGCAACATCAGCAGAAGCAGCAGCAGCAGCAACAACCGGCGATGGAGAGTGAGTCGGAAAGGGAAACGGAACCGGATCGAGAACAACAATTGTTGCATCAAAAGCCAAAGGATGTCATTACGATAAAGCAGCTGCCATTAGCTAGCAGCAATAATAATAATAACAACAACAACAACAATAATAACAAGAAAAATACCAACAACAATGAGGACCCCCTGGCGGATACATGATATCCGCACATACCCATAAGACTGCCGCGTGGCAAGCATTGAACGTGGGGTAACCTTGGCTGCCGATAAGGATAACGATAACGATAATGATAACTGTTGCAACTCTGCTACTGGGAACCCAATTTTAAATTATATTAGCTGAGACATTTACATGCTTCGATATATATACATATATGTATATGTGTGTGTGTGTATGTGTGTATATATATATATGTATGATGTATTTGTATTAGTGCTTCTTAAAGTTACCAAAAAAAAGAAAGAAAGAAATGTAGTTAAATCTCTGCAGAACGTTTCGTGACGACTGAAAAAGACTTAAAGTTGCAGGGAGAAATGCCAATTTAATAGCCATCCTTCTACTCCCACTCCTACCCCGAGAATCTATTATAATTTAATATCTCTTTTAACTGGATTTACCTTAATGCGGGCTGGGCGTTGAATTATTTAATTAATTGTGCAATGAATTACTACATTTGGCCCATTCAAATGGTCATTACATTTTATCAACTACCTTAATTACCAGGCTAATCGCATTCAACTGATAAGCTACTTAATTTCCATTAATATTTATATTTATATATATAATTTAGTTAAAGTTTTGCGCTGATGTTAGGGCTGGCATTAAATCACCTTTCCCCTCGACGTCTTGTGCAGTCAAGAAACGCACTAAATGCCGAAAACCTTAATTAATATGTTGCAAAAATATGAAGAAGAAAAAAACCACCAAAAGAAGCTGAAGAGAAAGAACAAGGAGATGCGGGAAATCCATTGCCTACTCTCACCGACCTCCTCCGCCTCTTTTTACGATATAAAACCGAAACTTTTTAATTTAGTTTAGAACACTTTTTTGAACGAATGTGTTTTTTGAGAGACTCTTTTTTTTTTTGTATCTGTAATTGTGTACATAAAATATAAATATTTATATTTTAATTTTTATAACCCATTTCTGGAATGAATCTCTAGCTGAACTTCGTCACATTGGGCACTAGAAAACTTTCATAGATTTATTACGAATAGCTCTTAACTAAGAAGTCTTGAAAATACAAACCTAAGCACTGTTTATAGTTTGCAAATCGAAAGTAAAACAAAAATCCATTTAGAAGTGTTACGATTTTTAACGAAAAAGAGCTTTTAAGGTGTTTAGTTTAAATAATCATAAACCGCATATGATGATGATGATGATGATGATGATCATGATGATGATATATATTTCCTGCTGATGACAAAAACAAAAAAGACGTGAACTAGCATAGAACTATTACAATTTTGTAAACTTTTTTTTTTGTGTTGCAATAAATTGACTGAATGTAAAGAAAAACCAATTTAATAAAAACCATATATCTATATATATATATGTATTAATATAAATGTATAACTTAAACTGAGTGTCTAAATGTATATGAAAGTTGTAATAGATTTTAAATGTATATGTGTGCGTGCATGTAAGAAAAAGTAACAGAAGCAGAAGAAACGAAGTTAGCTAAGCTAAATTAATTAATTTCGAAAATTTTACTTCAAATTCAAATGACTGAAAAAGTTATCTTAATAAAAACATTTTGGTAAAAAGAAAAAAGCGAAAATATGACAGTTTTTCAACAGACTGTACTTCCATTTTGACAGTTTTTCAACAGACTGTACTTCCCTTTTTAAGTTTGACACTTTCTCCGACTGCACTTACAGTCAAAGTTTGACAGTCTGACACTTTTTGTCCCAAACTGTACTTTTACTTCGAACTCTTTCCAGCTCACTCAGTCATTTGAATTTGAAGATGTTTTCATTTTTTTGGCTATAACCATAACTTTTTTTTTAGCAAGAAAGATATCCTTGCACACAGACAGACGACACTCACACAGCCACACGAGCCTTGTCCGTCCCAACTGCTGTGTGTGTGTGTGTGTGTGTGTATAGGAACAGGATGGCTATTTTATGTACTTACTTGCCGTTAGCTTTGTGCTCAAAGGAAACTCTATAAATGTTTGGTTTTGTGTTTAATTTCAAGAAATAAAATGAGAATTGCTGACAATAAATAAGGAAAAATGATTGCTTAGAGGAAATTGAAGTTTATTTGAATGGCGGCGGCTCGCTAATAGCTAAGAGAAAGTCAAACATAAAGGACAAAGAAAATTTATATAAATGTGTGTGTTTTTTTTTTATTTTTGTGTAGTTACAGTGCGTGTCGCAACCATAAAGCTGTAGTTTTGTGTTGTTGCAAAATGCATTGAATTTGTGAACTATATATATAATATATATATATATATATATAGATAAATATAATCTAATATGGTAAATGTAAAACGTAAACTATTTTTGCTAGCTTTTAAGATGCATTTTTTTGTCCTCAACTTTACCCCCCCCGTGTATGTATGAAAATATCTCTCTAAAATATACATGTATTATATAAATTGTAAATTCAACATTTTTTTTTTGTGTGTGGAATTGCTGCAGTTAGGGACAGGAATCCAGACACCAAATGTTAAGAAACTGGCGATCTACTTGCAGCTGACAGACAATCAGAGCTCAAAGAAGAAACTTCAAAATGCACTAAAACCCTATCCCCCTGCCCCCAGTATAAACCATTCCTCAGCGATCCCAAAAATTTTATGAAAAACCATATTAACAAATTTGTAATCCATCAAAAAAAAATACAAGTTAACTGTACGCTGCAAAGATCCGATATGGAAACGAATTAATTCTATGACATTTTCTGTGTGTGCAGTTTGTAGCATAAGAAAATTGTACAATATTGTATTGATAAACGACATCCCGGCAAAAACAGATAAATGAAGAATCAAAAAAAAGTTAAATATATATATATACGAAAATTATACTATACAAAAAAAAAGAAGAAATGAAGAAACAATAAAAGTTAAACATAAATATAAAATGCAATTTGGAAAGTGTTTCTTTGTAAGCTTTTATAAAAGTGGAGAAGCTGTTGCAGTTTTTTTGGTATCAATTTTGATATTAAGAAACCTACTAGCTGGGAAAGAGAGAAGAGTTCCAAAAAATATCTCGAAATTTCGAGATGATTGATAAGTTCGTAGGTTGGTAAGAGCTCAACCCATATCCTGTGATCCTCAGAAAACACAGAAACCATAACCTTGAGCTGATAAAAAGATCTTTGGGATATAGAAACCCCCCCGTCGAGGTGCATACTCCCCCTCTATAACAACGATGATTAGGAGACCCGAATCTCTCGATACACACAGAAACATGCACACAAACAACAGGAATTGTTCATAGATATGATGCCATAACACACTTTAATATCTCGATTGTTTCTCTTTTTTTTTTTTTTTTTTGGTTGCTAGTTTTCTGTTTTTGGTTTAGCTACTAGTATTTGACTTAGTTGGTGTTGGTTTTGATGTTTTATTTTAAAGAAATCTTACATTTCTTGATTCAATAAAAAAAGAGGTTGAGTTTTTCTAGTTGTTGTTGATTTTGAATAGCAAGTTGTTGGGCGAATAAGCTAAGATATATCATAACTATTTAGTTCATTCTTTTACTTTTATTAAAATTGTTTGGCTTTGGTATTTAAATGTAGAGTGTTTTGTTTTTACGAAAAGTGGTGGTGAAGGAAAGTGGTGCGCGAGGGCGGGCCGAGAGGTTTGGGATTGGTCTATTCCTCTTCCTCCTCTTCCTCTTCTTCCTCCTCCTCCTCTTCCTCCTCCTCTTCCTCTTCCTCCTCCTCTTCCTCCTCCTCCTCTTCCTCATCCTCCTCGGCCTCCTCATCCTCCTCCTCAACAACCTCCTCCTCGACCTCCTCATCATCCTCGACGATGTCCTCATCGGCCTTGGCGTCTTCCTCGCCTTCGGGTGTCTCGGGCTCACCGGCCTTCTTGCCTGGTCGCTCGCCGAACCACTTTGGCAGTTTGGCTATAGATTAAAGAGATTTAAGAATTAATATATATATATATAAAGATTATTTAGAAATTGGATCTCTAGAGAGCTCCACAAGAAAACGATAGGAAATTAAAATAAACACAGCACGACAATGAACAAATTGGATGAATGTTGTTCTGTTGTTGTCGTCCCTTCTTGTTTCGGGGTACAGTTGATCCCCACTAGCTAGCTATATATTTCTCGCATCTGATCTAAAGTACATACATTTTTGACGGCCGGTGTATTGCTCCTTCTTCTCGTTCCAGATCTTCTCGTTGGAGTCCTTGGAGATGGCATCCCAGCCCTGTGTTTCAATAGTGTTTTGATCGTGTTTTTGGTGTGTGATTTAATGAGTACAGTACAACGTATGAGATAAAGTACATAAAACATAGAAAGAGATAAAAAAGATAGTAGACGTTAGGTGCGTTCTTGCTGCTGTCAGCCTCCCCCCAAAATGGCCTAGCCTCGTACTTTCTGTAGTGTAACAAATAACCCCACCATTTGACATGACTGTACTTTGCGGTAAATAGTGAAAGGAACAAAAAACATAGTTTATGACATAAACATAAAACAATAGATAGATAGATAGATAGAAGTAGAGAGAGAGAGAGACACGTAGACATGGAGGGCCCAGCGGACGCTTACATTTTGTGCGCTGAGTAAATCTTTCCTGTCTTTCTTGCCAGGTCTTTTCTAAGGTTTCCGCATAGACCGTATTATAGCCCTATATTAGCATAATATTGAAAGAGTTTTGTTTGTTTACAAAGAGGCAACCCAAAGAAATACCCAAGAATTGTTAACTTTAAGAATGGAAACCAAATACTTACACCCTCGAAGAGCTTCTTCTTGTCGTCATATGAGCGGGTATCCACACGTCGCTCATACTTGGAGGCGACTTGAATCTTGGGCTATAAGTAAAGTTAGCCAGGTTAGCAAGATGTTTAAGATGCTATCGGAGTGTAACTTACCGGGTATTTGCCAGTCAAAGCTTCTGGGTCGAGACCCTTCTTCAAGGCTTTGTGCCTGAGCTGTTGCTTCTGTCTTTCCTTCAACTCTTTCAACTGTTTGGAAATAAAGATGGCCAAGTCAGGTCAGGTCAGTGGACTACTAAAAGATGGCCTAGGCCAAGTAATACTCACATCGTAGTCCTGACGTTTCTGCCTTTCTTCCAAGTCATACTTCTCAGTTTCCAATTTGACAATGAGCTCCCACAGCTCCTGGGCCTTCTCGCGCAGCTTAGCCTCGCCGAAACCTTCGATGGCCAAGGGCTTGATACGGAACGACAGCGAGATCTTCTTCTCCTCCTCCAACTGTTCCTTAGTCTTGTTGCGTTCCATGGCGGCGGACGAGAGTCCCAACTATTTTTCGTTTTTGGTTTTTTTTTTTTTGCGGTTTGTTTCATGTGGCGATTTTTGGTTTGGTTCGATTCGATTTTCGCGCAGGATGCGTTTTAATATTTGTTTTTAGTTATATTTTTTTTGTAATGCAGACACATTTCGTTGTGTTTTTATTTTTTGGTTGTTCGGATTTTTGAGATTTGATTTTCGGTACGTGCGGTACAAACGTGGTGAGAGAGACAAACAGTGAGAGAGATAGACACACACAGAGAAAAGAGCGCAAAACATAGTGGCATTTTGTTTGTTCGTGTTTGTTTGTTTGTTTGTTTGTTTGTTGGAGTGTGTGTGTACATGCGTGTGTTGTTTGTTTGTTTGTTTGTTTGTTTTGTTGTTGTGTAAAGAAAAAAGGAAAACAAAAAAGTGTTTTGTTGTTTCAGTTTCACATTGTAGTGTAGTGGTGTTTTGGTTTTTTCAAGGCATATTTGTAAGCGATCGATGTGAACACAGACGATTAACGATTGTGAAATGTCGGAATGATCGATTTATGCAAACACATTTGTGAATTATCGATAATGAATTATTGCATCAAATGAGTGATCGATGGGGGTCAAACACAAACGGTTGAGGAATGTGGTCGATCGATACAGGCGCAACACAAACGATTAACGATAACAAATGTTCGATGAATTCAAAAACCGACGATTAATGATTAAAAAGTGATCGATGGAAACGATGGGTTGTTGATGTGTATCGTGATGTTGATGGATGGTGGACACATGAGGAGTTCATATGGATTAAAAAATAAAAAAGAAATAAAAATCGGAAAAAAAAAGAAAAAACGAAAACAGGAAGAAAGAAAGAGAGAAAGAGACAGATGGAAGGGGGGGGGTGGGAAGACGGAGGCGTATCAGCAGCTGGCATTGATGGAATCTCATATAATTACCACGCCTGCATCCTTCTTGGCAATGGTGAAGTTGGGGCCCTTCTTGTCCTTGTCCTTCATGGCCTGCAGCATAGCCTGGCGCTTCTTCTCGGCCTCCTCGAGACGCATGCGCTTCTCCTCAATCTCGCGCTGCTTCTTCTCCTCAGCCTCACGGACACGGCGCTCCTCCTCCTCCTTCTTGCGCTGAGCCATCTTTTGCTCCTCCTCGGCGCGGGTAACCTTGCGCTTGGCCTGCTTCTCCTTCAGCTTCTTCAGCTCATCCTCCTCCTTGGATCTCTGTTTACGCCACTCGGTGATGTATTCTTTCAGCTGATCATCGAGGTCGGAGCGCTTCTGGTCCTGACGCTTGATGAACTCTGGGTCGCCCTCTCCTCTGATGTTCGGTAAGTTAGGGTTGCGGGAATGAGAAAGAAATCGATTAGTTTAATCTGTCTAATGGACTCTCTTTTTTTTTTTTTACTATAGCCACTAGTACTACGAGTAATGTCTAGGCATTAAAATTAATTACAGAATTTTGACGGAAATTTTCTTACGGCCTGGTTTTTTTTTAATTTTTATTTTTGTTTCGTGATTATATTTATATTATTTTGTTCGATTTTGTTCCGAAAGTCAAAGAGTTGTTTTTTTTTTTTCTTTACAATTAGTAGCCACCAAAGTGCTGATGTGAGAAAGCATTAGATTTCTACATTCTACGTATGGCATTACTACTCTAGTTATAAAAAAAAAAAAACAGAAACAGAACAGAAACACACCAAAAAAGATATATAGGGATATTGCTTCGATGGCACTGGAGTGGTGAGTTGTGGTGAGTAAGAGTTTGTGTTGAGTATTGCTTGCTACAGACAGGTACAGTTTACACCTTAGAAACTATTATTTTTGTTTTTATTTTGGGTTTTAAATAATTTTTTTTACTTTTTAAGTGGTTTACTGGACACGCACAGGCGGATTAATCGGGGACGATCTTAAGATAACACTAGGGGTTTAGTCTTGGTTAGCGTTCTGGTTTCATTTGTTGTTCACATTTGTTTTTTGTACATAGACTTACTCGGCTGGTGTCTGAGGTGGTTTTCTATACGTGAGGCATTGAGGTGGCAACAAACATGGAGGTGGTGATATTTTTTATTTATATATATATATATATATTGGTTTTGTGTTTCAAAAATTGACAAATTCACGATGATTTTCGATTGATTGATTTTTTTTTTTTTTTTTTTTTTTTTTTTTTTTGGGTTCATTCAAAATGCGAT